AATGTATATTTATAATTTAGTATTATGGTTGGTGACACCATCAAATACGCTCTTAGATTATAAGTTTACTATTAAGTTCATCATTTGTATTTCTCAATATAAGGAAATTGTATTCCTTTTGAAAAATAAATATCTTAAACCAGAAGTTTTTACGACAAAGTCAGATAAATTAATTTGTATTGTGTGTAGGTAGAGACGTGAGTTTTTGTGATAACAAACGGTATAATTCAATTATCTATACAATGTTTATGAGATACGGTGAGCAATTCCGAAATTATAACGTTTATTCGTGCTGTTTACAACAGTCTGCTGTTATTAATTTGTGTAATTATTAGTTTTGTGTTGAAGTCCGTATAACATTTATTCCACTCTGTATGCCGTAATCTACGTAGGTATAATTGAAATTAATTTGATAGCCTGGCTTTTACTATTTTCACATATACACACATGTTATAATTACGTTGTAATAAAACAGTACACTTACCGTAGATACGATTTGTCTAGAGCTAGGAGAGGCTGGTCATCTGTCATGCACGGTTACAGTCTCTCTTATATAGTTTCTTAACCTGCGATAAAAAAGAAACAGACAGAACAGCCTAAACCCTCTGACTTTTCCAGTTACGGAACAGTTAGAAATTCCTTTATAAACTGTACGAGAAACTAACCTTTATCGTTCCTGCAGACGGTCAAATATAGAATACTTCTTTCTACTCTTACGTTCTGAAAAAATCCGAGTTATTCTTTTTAAACAGATGCTTGAATGTCGTTGCATATAAGTGCTATAACGTCCTCTAACTAACCCAGACATGTAAATATGTTCTCTCACGTACCAGAATTTATTACCTGTCTGAAAAATTATTTATTTACAGCCGTCTCAATACCGTGTAAAGCGTTTCTTATCACTAATAATAGAAATATCAAAGTCTATGTCTGTGAATGTACAAACTTAATGGTATGTTAATCTTTTATGTTGGAACGGATTTAGATAAAATTTAAATTGTTCCTATGTGTAATTTTAAATTCCTGTTAATAATATTCAAGTTCAATCCCAGCTTAGTGTTACACGGCAGGTATTCATAAACTCGATCGCCTTTTGTAAAGTCAAATATTTTTAATCAGAATACAAAAAATAACATATAGTACGATATTTAGATCAAAACTTTTGTTACAACTTTTGTTAGGTCTTTGTTAGTAACAGTGTAATAGAGTGTGGAATTAAATTAACTTAAACTGACACGCTTCAATTGCCCGCCATGATTAATCATGAGCACCTGGATAACCGACCTTTGCTCGGTATTATTTTTTTGTAAATTTTCTAAAAATGAAACCTAGCTAGATCGATTAATCGCCCCCGAAACCCGCTGCATATTAATTTTTATGAAAATCGTTCCAGCCGTTTTCAAGATTCAGATTATATTAATATTTATAAATATACATATATACATGTATACAAGAATTACTCGTTCAAAGGTATCAGCCTAGTTAGTCACAAACAGAAACCAGTACATTAAATAAATTATCGCATTACATGATTAAATACCAACTAATTATTTAATAAAAAAAAAAACTAAAAACGTAAAAATACTTTTTGAAAGAATTGATTTTCGTTGTGCGAACTATAGCTAGACCTCACTCAAAAAGAGATAATGTTGATCTCCTTAGCTGTTTTAGAATTTATAAGAGAGGTTATGATGATTAAGAACTATAACTAATACTAACTAACTAAGAAAATTACTTAGACGTATATCGAAATGCAAAATATTAATATTTCATCTCGAAATCTCTTAACGTCTAAGTATATGTTGTACCGATCGCACTTAGCTCACGGCAATTTTTTATTTAAAAACCTGAGACACGTCACGACACGGCTATCTGTTCCCAAACTAGGTAAAGACTGTACGGTTCAACCTAGTTTGAAACCTGTTTTAACCAGACTACGGATAAACGTACTAATAAATTAATAAATACATGCACGTTATAGATAAATTATATCCAGACACAGTATAAATGATCTGAAGGCCAATTATTAAATAAATAAAAATTCGGTCACAATTCAGTTCCGATCAACGCTCGATCTCACAACTGTCATCAAAGGTATTTTCGTAGTAACGTATTAAATATCCAACTTTGACTGTAATGTGATTTTGTCGTACTGTAATCGAAAATTGAATCGGCAATCTGCTAGTCTTAGTTATACTAACTATTTTACTACGAAAATACCTTTTATGAAAGTTGCTAGATAGAGAGTTGATTGGAACTGAATTTTGATTTTGTTGTTGTTGTTGTTTAAAAAAGACAACTCCCGCATTAGGAATAAATCCTGTGTCGCGGGGAACTGTACAAACATACATCAAACGGACACAAAGAACACCCAGACTCAGAACAACAATTTGTGGATCACACAAAGTGTCGTCTCATGTGGGGTTTGAACCCACAACACTCGGCGTAGTAGGAAGCGGCGTGGCGACCGCTTAAACCACTACGCCTAACCACACTGAATGTTTTATTACGAGAATTAGCCCCCTGATCATCACACAATTCATTAATTATAATCTGTCGTGAGCCGGTCGTAGTCAGGATCACTAGACTTAGAGCTGTCATTGTTTTTATAACAGAGATCTGGAAGATAAAGTAGTTCAGAGTGTACTGAAGTAATTATATGAAACGAATCATTTACAATAATAAACCAGAAAAAAAACCGACAAAGATAATCACGCTACAAATGTATGTATATGAAGAGTATCGAAGACAGACGTGTACACTTACACCGTATTTTCAAATAAGCTTAAGCAAAATGTTAATAAGATTTTACGTCCGCTTTTTTTTATCTGAGGTATTAATTAAAATTTTAAAAAGATCAAAGTAAGAAATCTTAAGCTTGCCAACGTCCTAAACTGTCTTATTAGTGTAATAATACTTGGCAAGATCTACTGGTAGATGCAGACAACGCCCCCATTGTTGTCACGTCAAGGGAAGCGGGATAGTATCTCTTAATAAAAATTATTAATATGCAATAATTATGTATGTATTGACCTGAGTTTTTTATGATGTTATTAATATATATATCTGAGTAGGTACCTATATTTATATCCGTGTTCTAGAACTCGCAATAAAAGTTCTTAGTTTATTACTTTGTTTATTAAGTTTAGTTATCTTGTTTATATTTTAATGAAACTAACAAAAATAATAAGAAGATATTTCCAGTTATCGTGTCTTAAGAATGAATATCCATTCACAAATACATTCACTACCTAAACATACCGCTTGTTGGGAATACGGATGTTAAAAATTGTGTATGTTCGCGACGTTGCGTGTGGTGACGGATTAAGAATACGGAGTGTCACCACCCCAATTCATCCCGTGGGTGTCGTAAGAAAACTAAGGGACCAAACTACGCAGGATAACAGCACTGCAAAGAGATGAAAAAACTTGACACAAACCCTATACCAACCCGTCTGGCCAGCGTAGTATAGTAGGCCAAAACCTCATGTCCAGCAGTGGACTATTAAAGGCTGTTGATGATGATGTTCGCGAAGTTGTAAACAAATATTCATTTCATTATTAATAGTTACTTACTAGGATATTTTAAGTACTAAATTAAACTAAGCATATCACAAAAACAGTACCCTGATCAACATGTTTTCTCATAGCCTAGCCGTTGGAAGATCTCAAGTCCCCCATAAAAATACTCCGACAAGAACTCCTGGACAACTACTTTAGAACTTATCTATACTAATATTATAAAGCTGAAGAGTTTGTTTGTTTGTTTGTTTGTTTGTTTGTTTGAACGCGCTAATCTCAGGAACTACTGGTCCGATTTGAAAAATTCTTTCAGTGTTAGATAGCCCATTTATTGAGGAAGGCTATAGGCTATATATCATCACGCTAAGACCAATAGGAGCGGAGCACCAACGAAGGATGTTTCAAAAACGGAGAAAATTTATTACTATTGAGAGGCGCAGACGAAGTTGCGCGGGTCAGCTAGTTACCTATATTACGCCTCAAAGCTGCTTCTAATCTTAATGCGTTCTAGTAAGGCAGTAAAAACATATGTTTCTATTGCATAACCTAGTACCTGTTGTTGTTCGCAACCGGTCTGTTTGTTACGCAATTTTATGCTTTAATATTTGCGATTGTTATGCGTCTTCATAAATAATAAATTGTATTTATTACTTATATGGTAAGCTTTTTGTTCCGCTTGAATTATAACACCGCTGTTCACCATTGGCTTTCATTGTTAAAACTTATACAGCGTTCATCTATTTGCCGTTCTAAATCGATAGTTTTATTAGATTAGTTAAGATAATTATTATTAATATAATAAATTCTTCTACCTTTACTCAAAACTTTTATGTGGGAAAATTTTATCCGTGGAAAGGAATGTATCAAGCTTTTTTTTTTTTGTTTTAACACGTAATTCGTCGATATAGAAATCAGGCTTTACCTTCCTTGCGTTACAGTCGTGAGAAATTCTATAGTTTATTTTATACTGTATAAATCGCGAGGCATAGTTAATATTGATTGAATATAACTTAAATAAAACTTCCAAAACTTACTAGTTGTTTTAAGTACAAGCAGATATACAAAAATTTTATGCTATATGGGTGAATCGAGCAGAAACCAGCAGTGGACCATTAAAGGCTGTTGATGATGATGATGATGAGCAGATGGATCACCTGATGAAATGGGAGTACCGCCGCTCACAGTCACCTGCAACTCAGAAAATACAAGTGCCTTCCCCAGAATTAAAGGGAGAATTAAAGGGTAGGTGGTGTGAAGGAACAGGTGTCGTGTCTCTCCAACACAAAGGGAAGATCCTCGACCAGGCGACGTGATCATGCCTGGCGGGCCGCGGACCATCGTTGTTGGGAAGTTTTATGTATACTAATCGTCGTGAGAATTATTCCGTGTCTTCGTTAGATGGCGCTGTAATATGTTTCTTGATTATACTTTATGTGGAAGTCGCCTCGGGTGGTCTAAAGAATTTCCAATCGAAGATAATGATAAAGCCTTACCGTAGGTACCGTAGGAGCATGGCCCTCTCACGATAGCATATATATGAAAAATAATCGCTTTGACCTCCTCCTTTTTGTCAGAGAACTTCTAAATGTCACGTCTGACCGCTTGTGACGAATTGTTTTCAATCTGCGAAGGATTAGCGATAATTGATCGACGCAATTAACTTTTATTACGAGTAGCTTTTTCTTCGTTTATTTTATCTTGATTGACATCATTTTTAGAGTTCCGTACCCAAAGATGACTCCGCTCTCCGTCCGCCCGTCAGTCTGTCTCCGTTAGACAGTTGAAATTTTCACAGATGATGTATTTCTGTGGCCGCTATAACAACAAATACTAAAAACAGAATAAAATAAATATTTAAGGGGCTCCCATACAACAAACGTGATTTTTTATTGCACTTTTTTGGTTGATATTGATAACGGCAACAGGTAGATGCTTAAAATATTCACAGCATATTTAGTTAAATATTCACTTTAAAAATAAATAATTAAAATAAAAGAAATATTTAAGTGGGGCTCCCATAGAACAGACACGATTTTTTTGCCGTTTTTATAGATAATGGTACGGAACCCTTTGTGCGCGAGTCCGACTCGCATTTGGCCGGTTTTTTATTAACGTATTTATGTCTCGTCGTCAACACTTTTTTTATGTTATAAGGGGTCAAACGAGCAGACTGGTCACCTGATGGTACGTAACTGCCGCCGCCCATGGGCACCTTTAACTCAAAAGTCATAAGTGCGTTGCTGCCCTTGGAGTCCCTCCCGCTGACTTAAGCGGGATTTGGGCTCCAGTAACCTAACTCGGTCAGTGAAAGGCAACGAAAGAATTGTTGAATGTTTACTTTGATGGTTGTCATGTGTAATTTCTTTGTTTCCATTAATGTTCTAGATTAGTCATAGATCCTTGGTCCAATTATGTTGCATTAATGAATTAAAAAATTAGTAGATTAACAGGTTAAGAGGATTGCAATTTAGATGGTACGTACGAAAAATCATGAGTAATGAATTAGTAAACTTATATTCTTGCTATCTGAAGTTTTAGGCCCGTATTTTAAAAGACGTCTCAAGTTTCGGTTGAACTCTAAATATTTAAAATTAGTTTTTAGTTCAGGCGTCGATTTTATTATAGACCGCGATTAAGTTTTACCCAGTTGAAACTACTCTCAAGCATTTAATTGAACTTAGTCTGTTTTCCATTACGTTTCCGCAGCTAATTATTAAAAATAAAATTACAAATATTGTTTCTATGAATTTGTATATAGTATATTTTTAAATATTAACAAGCTTGTTGTTCGTCCAAAATTAAATATAATGAATATTAAAATAAAAATGACTAGTTGAAGGCGGCACGTTTAAGTTATTTATTAACACGTTTCATGTTGGATTGTCAAATAATGTTGTTATTTTTATATTTCTAAAAGTTATATTACTAGCATAATATATTTCTATAACATAAACCAAAAGGTAGTTCTGATTTTAATTTAAATAAGCAATGTGTGTTAAAGTGAATTGATTTGTATAACTAGTAATTCTTTCGTAAATAAAGTAATTATTCAGAAACAAATCATAGTAAAATACATTCATTTTTTCTAAATTTCCCTAAAAATCACTGCTATAGACGTCTACGCTATAGACTGTCTCACGTTAACAAAGATCACATCTGACAAAATCTACACCTGAGTAAAGATTTGGACATTAACATCGTATGTACGAATATGATTATATTTTCTTATTTATAGTCGTGAGAAAACATAAGTCAAAAAATTAATAATGTAAAAAAAAATTACCTACTGTGAGTTTGACATAAGAATATTTAAATTTACTGCAATATTTAAACAGCTGTTACAATGTAACGACTGTTTGTTTAACATTTGTAATAACAAATGTTTCAGTTAAACAAGCATTTTCATTAATATGTGGCGAGGTCAATAGCCATAGCAATACCCTTAAAACAATGTCATGTCTAGAGCGTTGAAAAGACAATTTATGTTTAGTGAACAAACAAGTAATTAATAAAGGTATGCAAATGGGGTTGAATCATACTAAAATAGATCGGAGTTGATGGTGCATTAAAATATATTTCCATAATAGTATTTTCATGGGCAACATGCTTCAATATTTTAGAACCTAATGTACTCTGAAACATATCATCTAAACCTAATCTAGTATATATTGAAGCATTAAGTTTCATATAGTGTTCAATAATAATTTAAAGGTTTTTTATGCTGGCCATCTTCTGCAATCCTGCTTTATTTTCGCCAATAAAATAAAATGGTATCTACGCAGTACTACCGTTAAACGACACAGGTTCGAGAGAGAGGCTAATAAAACAATTGTGAATTATATCAAAATTGATTTTACAAAAACAAATGTTTTTTTAAAGCACGTTGCATTGACTGTCCTATTGATTATTAGGATTTCCTTATGCTGTGCCAAAACAACAAAACGACGCAGGAAAAAAAATAACATAACTTTTCCGATAGTATCTTGACTTTCTTGCTCTGATACTTTTCGTTTAGAAATTATCAATACAATTTTCTTAGACATCCCCGACTACTCCAACGCTGTCACATAATAAAACGCTCTGTGAATTGTGAATGTTAATGTGATGTGAATGATAAATATTATATTTTGTCATTGGAGTGCTTTTGTACGAGTTAATATTTTTTTTAATTAAAAATTAATAAATGAACGTAAAATTCTATTTTTTTTTGAGTTTATACAGAGAAAAAGATAGAAAGCTAAATTTTTAAGAACGTAAAAAAAAAAAAATTATAAAATTTAATTTAATGTTTGTATAATCTGCAAACATTTTTGTTTCGGCGTTTTGGTGTTTTCTATGTATAATCTTTAAAATATATATAAAGGGTGTAAGGGACATCGTGACGAATACTGAAATAGTGTATTTAGACCATCATTCTGAGTCGAAAATCATATGAATTTTCTGCTGCACTATAATATATAATTAAGTATAATATAATTAAGTGTTATATTAGTCAATCTAGCTTTCATAGTTCAAGCTCTACTTAGTTTGAAACTAGATGGCGTAATGTTTTTTTTTTATGGTATAAGGGGGCAAACGAGCAGACGGGTCACCTGATGGTATGCAACTACCGACGACGACGACGACAACGACTTGGGCTCCGGTAACCTCACTCACTCAGTGAAAGGCAACGAAAGCATTGCTTAACACCGGTTTTCTGTGAGTCCGTGGTATCACTCCGGTCGAGCCGGCCCATTCGTGCCGAAACATGGCTCTCCCACTGTAAGAGTGACACATACCGACCTTCTTTAAATGAGCACAGACCGCTCTCGATTAAACTCACTAAACCAGTGAAACACTGTTGTTTTTGATGGTACTTCGTCCCCAAAAGTCGAAGTGAGTTTATCGATGCACTGTTTTTGAGTTAGCCCTAGCTGATAGTCGAAAATTTTCACGAGTTAAATCCATAGTGAAAAGACACGCAATTTTCAAAACGACGTCACAAAGGATAAACAAATGACAGCTACATGAAACAATTTAATCCTTTAATTGTATTCAAAAGAATTCCATTTTTATTTTATTTATTTATTTGAAGGAAAACCAACAGCTTTAAAGCTTTAAAACATTAAATGTTATGATTACTTTTTGAATATTGTTCTGTAACTGGCTAGTTCAGGATACGTAATTAGCACTCGTATGTTGAACTATTGTGGTAAATAAAGCTATACGATCACAATTCAAGTTGTACTGGTCCGTAAAATAACATAAAATGAAATCTTCATGAATTATGTAAGCAATTCGATCAGTAAGAATTGTATGTTTGACACATTTAATAGTATTTACTCTTTTATATACAGGTTAGACCGTTTGTTCGTGTTGCTGGAGGCTGGCGCTGGCCCAGCAACACGTCGCGCTGCGGCCAGGCAACTTGGCGAAGTGCAAAAAGCTCACCCCGAAGAGTTGCACCGGCTTCTCGGCCGGCTCATGACACATTTGCGATCACCAGCGTGGGAGACCAGAACTGCTGCTGCACAGGTACAAAATAATGGCATATTTTTTGTATATTATTACGAAATCAAAATTATACTAATTTACCGTCAACATCATTATCGTCATAATTATCATTATCACCCAGCGAGCTGCCTAAATCTTTTCACACATTTTCTCATACAAAAAAAGATTTTTCTTTAAATGTGTGTGTGTGTACAGATTACTAAAAAAGTGCTATCACACACAGTACTTGTGTGTATGTCATGTGTGTGACTTTTCCCTCCAACAGCCTTTATCTTGATCTGTTATTTAACAAAGATTACCTTATTATTCTAAACCAGTTTGTTCTACACATGGATCCGCAATAAGAATTACATTAAATATTTTACACAATTTCGTTTTAAAAACCTTCACATTGAGAATTTGTATAAAACGTAGGCACAATTTTCTTTACTTTTTTTTAAGTTATTTTAGACACGGAGGACTGTGATATGTGCGAAATTAAAAGTTAGTTTTAGAATTAAAGAAATGTGAAAATGAATGAATATCACTTTTCGTTTCATCTAAACGAAAAGTGATATTCAGTCATTTCACACTTCTTTAATTCTCACATATTATAAAGTCCATTGACACAGGTTTACTTACACAAAAATACGTTTAAATGCATACTAAATGTACGTAATTGAAAAAATACATTGGCAATGAATTAGTACATAAAGTTTATAGCTGACGTGAGAAGATAATTAGTAACCAATCACACATCGGATTACATACATTATATATGTAAATCGAAGAACTCTGTGATACCAAACGCAGTTATGGAAAGGTTTCACAGAACAGTTACAGGAGGTTTATTTCGTTACTGTAGTGAAATGTTGATAGTAATAGCATAGACTTTTAATTTAATCGCTACTATTAGAATAGGGCCCGGGCTTTTCCTACAACCCTGACCTGCGGCCTTACTCTTGAATTCGATTCCGATTTCAATCCAATAGTAATCCAATTCCAATTTCAATTTCAATGTCACTATAATCGGTACTCTTGAAAACAATATTGTCAAATTGGATTGAAATTGGTATCGGCCGGCGATTGCGTTGCCATGACTACGGTGACACTTGAAGTTAGCTATGTAACCGCCGCATTAGAGTTGTTCAACACATTACGATAAAACAGGAGTAAAGCTTTGAAATAGTAAATCGTGTCCAAAACAAGACTAATAAATAAATACTACAAAAACGAGTGATCAGCTGATTATTTGCAACGTTATTAATTAATTTTTCTGCAAGCAAATTATTTTAATCTTAAAATAACCTACACTATTGGCTGTATGTGATTATACCATTGCCTACTATGAAAGCAAAGATTGATGAAGCATTGCTGTCAGTTAGCGATGCCCGTAAAGAAATGCCAGACCCTTGATTTTATTTTTATATTGTTATTGTATACTAATATTATTAGATATTATTTTACTAATGACTTACGTCATATACCTATATAGGAATTTTATTATCCTTATTTAACTGTGTATTTATTGCAAATAAGTGTAATTGGAAATGCAGAGTGCATGTCTAATAGCTATTTACTTTTACTTCATGAATATTTTTTATTTCCAAGCAATAAACAAAGTGGCTAACTCAAATACCGAGAATCTCATAACACTTAAAACACAACTTTAATAGTTAAACCTCGGTTTTACGAAGCAACTGATACTTTTTTTGAGTTTTACTCATTCCTATGGAATTTGCTCAAGTTGGCTCATTGCAACAAATAACAATAACCTCTAAAAATACAATATGAAAGATTGATATAGCAGTTGAAATGTCACTATACTTAAAATAAAATATACCATTATAGGCCAAGACATTTATATTGACATATATTAAATTAATACATAAAATCTTGTTAGAAATAGCAGTATAAATGCAGTATAAAATTATAAAAGAACATCATATAAAATTTGCCTTAAAAACTAAAATATTAACACAAGTTGTTAGAATTAAAAAATGTTAATCATTACATAGTTTTACAAAATAAGAATGCATAATAGTTGACTTTATTCATAATAATATTAACCTAGTAAAAAACATCTTCATTATTACTATTTAAATAAATTAAATGTTGTTTCACAGAACTTTGATTCCAAACAAAACTATCATGAGATGCTCCTCCAATGGATGCATCAACTGACAGTATTTTTAAATCTGCATCACATATCTGTAAATATAAATAAAAAGATAGAACTAAATTATAGGTACTCTAAATTGTTATTTAGTTGATAAAAATTTCATCAAAATAAGTGTTTACAATCATAACATTTCTAGTGGAAATGTTTGCAAATAAAAAATTTTTCCTCATGTTCCCTAATTGTTGGTTTAATTATGGCCACATGAGAGCCATCAATACATCCTAATACTGATGGGATCCGGTATTTTTCATAAAACCTGAAACAAAGTATTGTTTAATATTATTATAGTAAAGCTATTACATACAAATTCAAAATACTTTTATTATAGTTATAAGCCTAATACATACAATAGACACTTAGGGAGTACTACACTACATTTACATGCTTAAAGCTAAGGTGTCTCAACTAAAATTACTTCCATATACTATATTTTAGGCTACTTTTAGCAATATTCTACAGTATTCTAGATAAGTAGAACTTTTACAGTACCTTGCTTTAATAGCATCTCTTTCTTGGTGGGTTTGAGGAAACCTAATCCATTGTTTTTGAACATAATGGTGATTGAGAGCTGCTGTAACCTCTTTGATAGCACGAGATACAGATTGCTGCGACATCAGAGTGCCATATGTGCCCCCAACCAGCCTTTGGTAACTTCCAGTCGCAAAATACGACAGTGTCGCTAAAATCTACAATTTGGATGAAAATATTAAGTTAATCTTCTCACAAAAAAATAAGTATGTACACCTTACAAGTGTAATGTTAACATTTCTTATATTTCGGTGGTTTATCACTTCTTCTCTTAGGAGTTGGCATAAAAGGCTTTATGTATTCAGAAATCGCCTCAAATAAATATTTGCTCACTCGGTATTTGGCTTTAAATTCTTCCTCACTTATAGAGAACGCCTTCTCCGTATATCGCATCATTCGACGCTCATTTCGTCTCAGTTTTAACACATTTTTTTTTAGTTTTACGTAAAATATTGTACATTACTACTAAACGAGCCATATTATCCACTTATAGTTCAGTTAAAACCACATGAAACGTGAAACAATTTCAAAAAAGTTACACTTCGGCTATTGAGTAGATCCCAATCTCCAAACGATACGAACTCAATTTATCGCTGTCAAACAAGCTGTCAAAAAATTCAAGAGTACCGTTTGCGTGTGGCGATTGGTAATTTCGATTTCAGTTAGTTCTCCAAATCGTCACCCAATTTGATTTCAATTTGGCGCTAATGTCGAATTCAAGAGTACGAAACTTCACAATTCCAATGTCGATCGATCGGAATCGAATTCAAGAGTAAGGCCCCTGCTTGGCTTACTGTGACCAAATTATAATAAACTAGCTTTAGCCTATGTCTTTCTTGAAGAATAAAAGTATCTTCATATAAAATTTCATCTAAATCGGTTCAGCAGTTATTGATTCCGCATACAAACTTCTCCCCCCCCCCTTTTCACCCCCTTAACGATTTCTTGTTGTTGTCCTTTTCTGGGACTTTCCCTTCATCTCTGTACCAAATTACATCTAAATCTGTTCAGCGGTTTAAGCGTGAAGAGGTAACAGACACACTTTCGCATTTATAATATTAGTATGGATTTGGCAAAATGGTATTTTATGCCTCGACCGCAGTAGTACCACGGCCGCACAGAAACCGGTGTTTAGCAATTCTTCCTTTCTTCTCACAGAGGGACTGATGTTACAGGAGCCCAAACCACCCCTCTCTCCCTTATTCCCTGAAAGGGCGGCAACGCACTTGTGACTCATGAGTTGCAGGTTTCTATGAGCGGCGGTAGTCACTTACCACCATTAAAAACAGTGGCCCTCCAGGAGACACACACTGCCGACAGAAGTGAAAATTTATTTACTTATATACAGAGGTGTCGATAGCGGTAAGTGTCGCGGCTTCAAGTGTTTTTTCATCTCAAAAAATGCCTAACGCTCTAAAGAAGTTTTCACTTTAACAGACGTGTCGGTAACGATAACGGTAACAGTGACAAGTTCAATGGTTTTTCCCGTATAATAAAATGTTTTGGAACGAAGTTCCTTATCGCGCGTTGTGAAAGGGGGCTAGACGGAAAAAATTCGTACGAAAATTTGTCACGACACTTTTTAATATAAATTGACGTCTAACTGTGGATACCATACATTAAATTTGCTTTAACGTTCGCCAACGTCCATACCATGTTGAATACACCGGTTCTCGTCCGATCACCGAAGTTAAGCAACGTCGGGCGTGGTTAGTACTTGGATGGGTGACCGCCTGGGAATACCACGTGATGTTGGCTTTTTGCTCTTTATTTTCGTGTCATCTTGTCAGACATTCAGCGCCATCTATCGAATAGATAGGAAATCATTTCGCAAAGAGATTTTACCAATGTATAAATTGTTTTAATTGTTTTTAATATGTAGGTAATAGCCGCTTTCATAGATGGCGTTGTAATTAAAATCGTGTCAAATCAGTTTTACTCGATCGTCACAACTTCGTTCCTATCGGGTGTCCCACGACACCACATGGCTTTTATTTTTTTTGGTTAAACCATAAAATACATTATTTTCTTAGTTATTCAAAAATGCCCAACGCGCCTAAAGAAGTTTCCACTTCAAAAATTGGTCTTTTAATAAACCTGTCTACCCCTTCGGGGATACAGGCGTGGGTGTATGTATGTATGACACAGTTTTAAGTTTAATATTTGATAACATACACATATGTTTACTGAGTTTACTAAACATCTCATTATTCGGTTCAAGCTGTGCCTCCGAAATCTTAGTCCAGTATTCGTCGTGCGTAATACACTCCATTTGTATTCACGTTGCGCAGGTGCATTGCTTACAGATGATCGCTGTCATGTTTTGTTTATC